GCCAGCGCTCCAGCTTCGGCTTCACGAAACCTCGAGTGTGGATCTACTCGAGGGTTTCCCTCCGAGATTGACATTTGGCGAGTTTGGCAATCCAATATGCTCGAGTTTGAGCGATCTCGACTGTCACTCTCGCTTGGACTAGAGCGACTTCAGCATCGGCCCGGTAGACGGCCACGATCGCATCTGCCTCGGCCTTTGCTTTTTCAGCTTCAGATTTGGCCTTGGCAAGTTCAAAAGCCAACCGAGCCTCGAGCTCCTCTATTTTCCTTACTTGAGCCGAGCTCTTCTCCCTCATGCCTCGAAGCTGAATTTCGACTGATGAAAATTTGGATAAAGCAGTCTCTTTCTACAGCGAAGCGGTCTATGCCTTCTTTCCACCCCAAGGTCTCCGCCTTCATCATATTGACCTCCTCGCAGAGCTGCTCGATCCTCTCGACCTTCTGCTGCAGCTGTGAGATTGAAATATTAGCCACCTTTCCCGAATCGAGCCCATGAACATTTGAGATTTTCATTACCTGCTCGATCAGGTCGGTCTGATCTTGGTGAGCCTTGGCCAACTCGACTCGGAGGTCCTTGGTCTCCTCTTCTTTTTGCCCACAGAGAAGTTTAAGGGCATTCCTCTCCTCCGTGAGCCCTTGGAGGTCGACCTCACACCGACTCAGCTCAACTCGAGACCGAGAAAATGCTTTCTGGTGAAGCGCCGAGGCCTACACAGAAAAAGAAAAAAAGTTAGACAAGAAGAAAAAAATGAACACAAGTGTAACACCAACAAGGGGAGTTAAGGCTTACCCGATTCAGAGCTTGCTGCGCTTCGTTAAAAAGGCTTGATGCCTTGCCTGAGTCCCTCGAGACCTCTAAATCACTCAGACCGGTAAAGTAATCATGGAAGGAGTATTCCCTTCTATAGGCTCCTTTGATGGAGAGGGTCTTCAAGGCCTGAGCCTCTTGAATCATCTCCTCATAAAACGAGGGGAGCATCGGGGAGCCTCCAATTTCTATTGCCCCAAGTGAATCACTTGGGGCGTTCTCCTCATCTCGAGGGGCCGCGACAGTCGTACCCACCATTGGCTCAGTGTGGTGGGAGGCATCTTCGATCCTTAATGATTCGGGGGCTTCGCTCAAGTCTCTTCCTGAGACCCCCTCATCTCAAGATAGAGTTTCTGCAGCCTTCACTGATTCAGTGGCCTTTGGGGGCTCGGGGCTCGTTCCTACTCGGGCCACCAGCCCGGAGTCGTCTTCTTCCGCTTCTTCGTCCTCCTCCCTTAGACGCCGACTTTGGTTAGGAGGATGATGTTCTTCCTCGGGTTACGAGCCTTCTTCTTCTTAGGTTCTGGATTCTCGGAAGGTGAGGACTTTTTCCTCTTTTTGTCCTTTGCCGGTTTCGGTGCCGGGATTGAAGTCTCTCCCTTACCAAATAGGGGCCTCATAACAGCATCTTTTCCAAGGCCGGTATGAAAGGAAGTTAAGTAAGAAATGCTTTGATAAAATCATTAAAGATGTGGAAAAGGGGCTTACCATGAGTTTTGGCTTCCCATCGGCCCTTTAATAAGTCACGCCATGAATGCTCGGCATACATAGAGGTCGAGGCCAGGTCCCGAACCCAACTCTTGAGGTTAAGGATTGCACCGAGCATCCAAGAGACCGCTACATCACAGAATAATATATTAATGAGAAGAAGCAAAGGGGAAAAACAATTAATAGGAGCTAACAGGGGGATTGTACTTACGCTTCATATTCTATTTCTCGGAAAATGGCATCTTCTCGGCCGGGATTAGGTCAAAAGTCCTCACTCGAACGAACCGGCCCATCCAGCCTCGGTCCTTGTCCTCGTCTATGCTCGAGAACAACACTTTGGTAGCCCGGCGTTGGAGTTTTATTAACTCGCCTCGATAGAGTTGGGGACTGTATAACCTAATGAGGTGGTCGAGGGTGAAAGGCATCCCCTCGACTTTGCTCACGAAGAATCGGAGGAGAATCACAATTCGCCAAAAGAAAGGATGGATTTTGCCTAGGGTTATTTGATACTGACTGCAAAAATCTACGACGATGGTGTCGAGGGGGCCCAGCGTGAAAGGGTAAGTGTAAACACTTAGAAACCCTTCCATATGGGTGGTGATGTCCTCTTCGGGGGTCGGGATCACCACCTCTTTGTCCTCCCAGTTGCAATCTTTCTTTACCTGCTTAAGGTATCCCTTAGTTATCTAGAATATATACATCGACACTGGCTCACATCGATCGGGAACCGACGAGGCTTTATCAGTCTTTAAATCAAAAGTGAGGACACACCCCCCGGGAACACACTCCTCGGGGCGCGGCTCCGCTGGTGTCTTGTCGTCGGCCGGCCGCGATGAAGAAGCGTTTTCCTTTTGAGGAACAGTTTTTGATGTTTTTGCCATTTTTGTATGGATTTGAAGTTAAAAATAGATGGAGATGATAAGATTTAGTGTTTTGAGAAGAGGTTGGCAGTGAAAATCGTAGATTTGCAGATGAAGAAATTAGGAGATATAGAAAGCTTTGGAGATTGGAAATTTGAAAGTAAAAGTTCAAAATGGTGGAGAGGGAGGCTATTTATAAACTTCACAATGGCAGTTCAATATTGGCGGTGACCGACCATCGACTGGCGTGCATTTAATGCCTTGGTAATTGTACAGACGAGACGTTTCAGTCGCTTACGTCACAAGGATGACATCATGACAGGTCAAGATATAAAATCGAAGGCTCAATTCGTTTCTTGTCATTATATTTCAAAAAACGAGGGGACTATCTCTATTCGGTTAAAACTGGGCACACCCGAGTTTACTATTTGACCGAGACCAGGAGTTCGCATCGGAGGATGGCCTCGTAACGGAATAGGACATATCACGAGGATACGGTATCGAGTTCAGAACCGAGATAACTATCAAGATCGAGGCTAGTAGTGATCGAAGCCAAACAAAACAGATATCGAGCAAGATCAAAGATATCACAAAGGCGAGATATCCGTGACTGGTCGAAGATCACTGTGTAAATCTCGGAACTGATCAAATCAGAAATGGTTAATTAGTTAATCATGGAATTTCCTTGTGTAATTAGAGTTATACCATAAGTGGAACTCCTCTACTATATAAAGGGGAGTATTAACCATTTTTAAGGGACAGTTCTCACATAAAAAAACAATACAATTTTCTTTCCTGTTGATATGATTGTTCATCAATTTTGCTTTATTTTCAACTATTTTGGTATTAGTCAATTCGAGGGCGCCCTAGAGGGTTGAATTCCGTTTCAATACTGGTTCACTTTATTTTATAGTTTATTTCTGTTATTAATCTTCATATTTGTCTATCGGTATTAAGTGAAATCGCGTATCCTTAGAATCTCATTATAAGTTTAATTATTATCCAATTTTAAGAGTAAACAACTTTATAATTCAAGTATTTAAAACGAACCAATTTTACCCATTACAGATAGTCCCCCTCCTTTTCGGTGGCACATCTTTGTGCATTCAAAGACTTAACCAGCATATCATCTATGTAAACTTCCATTATTTTCCTTATTTGCTTGTCGAACATTTTGCTCACAAGCCTCTAGTAAGTGACTCCGACGTTCTTAAGCCCGAAAGGCATCACATTGTAGCAATATGTGCCAAAGTTCGTTATGAACGAAGTCTTTTCCTGATCCTCTGGGTTCATTTTGATTTGATATTATCTGGAATAGGCATCGAGGAAACTCATCAATTCGTGCGCGGCCGTCTCATCAATCATTTGATCAATGTTTGGTAATGAGAACGAGTCTTTCAGGCACGCCTTATTCAGATCCTTATAATCTATGCACATGCGGAGTTTATTATTCTTTTTTGGAACTACTACTATATTAGCTAGCCAGTCAGGATACTTTACCTCCCAGATTGAACCGATATCAAGCAATCAAGTTACCTCTTCTTTGATAAATCTATTTTTGCCCTCGGCAATAGGGTGTTTCTTCTGCCTTACCGGAGGGATGTTGGGGTCCAGGCTTAACTTGTGCAAGACCACTTCTAGTGGAATACCTGACATATCCGCATGCGACCACGTGAAACAATCAACATTATATTTAAGAAATTCTATAAATCCTGACCTGAGCTCGGGGTTTAATCCTGTCCCCAAGTGGAACTTCCTCTCCAAGAACTTCTCGAACAATGCAACTTGTTCGAGTTCTTCCACTGTGGATTTGGTTGCGTCCGTTTCTTCTGGTACCTAGAAATACCTCGGTACCTGATAAGATTCTGATGGCTCCTCCCGTTTGTCAACTTCGTTTGGCTCGGGAGCAGGCGTCAGTTCCTGTAATTGTTACGCCGCATGTTCCTTCCCTTTACTACTAGAAACTGAGATTGCGTTTATCTCCCTTGTCACCGGTTGATCTCCTCTTATTTGTTTAATTCCCTCTAGAGATGGGAATTTCAAAAGTTGGTGATATGTTGATGGCACAACCTTCCTCTCGTGTAGCCATGGTCTTCTAAGAATGATGTTATAGCCTATCTCACTGTCTACTTCTTCAAACAGAGTCGTCTTCATGACCCCTTCGGCGTTTGTGGGCAGCAGGATCTCCCCTCGGGTTGTCACACTTGTTAAGTTGAAACCGGCAAGGAGCTTTGTTGCCGGAATGATGCTTCCGGTTAGCTTAGCTTGTTCTAGCACTCTCCATTGGATAATATTGGATGAACTCCCTGGGTCCACCAAAACACGTTTAATTTTAAAATGTAAAACATTAAGAGAAATTACCAGGGCATCTTTGTGCGGTAATAGGAGTCCATCGGCGTCCTCCTCCGTGAAGGTGATATCGTCCTCGGCGACTTCTCGGAGTCTTTTGCTATGGGTCACCGATACCTTTGTCTTTTTTGCTGGTGAAAAGGTTACACCATTAATCTCGTTTCCGCCAAAAGTCATGTTGATCGTTAGACGAGGAGGATCTTCTCCTATCTTCGATGGTTCTGCGTTATCCCTATTGCGACCGTAGTTATTTTTAGCTCGGTCGCTTAAGAACTCTCAGAAATGGCCGTTTTTCAGCAATGTCGCCACCTTCTCGCGCAACTGTCGGCAGTCCCCAGTCCGGTAGCCATTAGTCCCATGATACTCACACCATAGATTAGGATCCCTCTGGCTGGGATTGGATCTCATCGGCCTCGGGAACCGTGCTTCCTTAATGTTCCTCATCATCGATACCAGTTCCACCATGCTGACATTGAAATTATACTCGGACAATCTGGGATAGGTGGAAACCCGGGAGCCCGATATCTCTTTCTCCTGCAACAATCTATTATTTCGGCCACGGTGAACTCTTCTATCGGTAGTGAACCTGTCCGCTGACCGAAAACCTCTACCGCGTCCTTCGGTCCTTTCGTAGGGGCAAACTAGCCTTAAGAAGACCGTCGATCTGTGTCTAAATCATCTTTCAACTTTTCCTTATTCTTCTCTCAGTCCCGACCCTTGGTTGATGCCGTGAAATCGAGTTGATCATCCTCTATTCTTATCTTTGATTCATAGCGGTTGTGGACATCTCCCCATATTGTTGCCCGAAACTCAAGCAAACTTTCTTTCAGTTTTCGGAAAGTGTCAGAGCTCCTCGGGTTCAGTCCCTTAGTAAATGCCTCAGGTGCCCATTCATCTGTCACGACCGGTAGCAACATCTTTTCCTTCTGGAATCTAGTCACGAACTCTCGCAGCAATTCAGATTCTTCTTGCGCAATTCTGAATATGTCGGCCTTTCGGGCCTGTACCTTCCTGGCCCCGCTATGGGCCTTGATAAAAGAATCTGCGAACATCTCAAAGGAATCTATTGAGTGCTGGGGTAGGAATGAGTACCATGTGGGCCCCATCTTTGAGGGTCTCCCCGAACTTCTTCAACAAGACTGACTCAATCTCGTGCGGAGCTAAATCGTTTCCTTTCACTGCCGTTGTATAGGTGGTGATGTGCTCCTGAGGATCCGAAGTCCCATCGTATTTTGGCACATCTGGCATTTTAAACCGCTTCGGGATTAACTCTGGTGTATCGCTCGGTATGAACGGCAATTGGGTATATTTCTTGGAGTCCGATCCTTTCAACACTGGCGGTGCGCATGAGATTTGATCCATTCGGGCATTTATTTCCCTCGTAAATCGCATAAATATGGTTTTAAAGGGATCATTCTCATTATTGTTACCAAATCTGCTGTCCTTCCCCCCGGCCCCGTCGAAGTCGACCTTACCCCTCGGGGTGTTGTTATTAACCCTTTGTGCTATTTGATTTGCGGGAGCACCGGGAGGAACTGGACCTCTTCCATTCGCGTTGTTGGAAGCACCCGACAACGCTTGCCTCAACTCTATCATGGCCTGATCTTGTCGCGAGAGATGGACCATAATAGTCTTTTGTTGTTCCCTCAGGATTCTCATCCTTTCCGCAACGTGCTCGTCTTCAGCATCATCAGGAGTTGCCTCCCGAATGTGTCGTGGATATTGTCCTCCATGGACCGGCATTGATACATCCTCCTCGTTGCGGGTATCACTGATCGAATCTTTATGTTGAGAGTGATCTACTTAGGACACAACGTTGTGTGTGATGTTGACATCGTTATCTGCCATTTTTACGATTTTTCGTTAAGAAACAAAGAATTAAACAGATTAGTAATAGATACAAGGATCAACTCAATTATGCAACTGTCTAAGTCCCACGGTGGGCGCCAAACTGTTTACCCGTAAAACGGTACAGTTGAATTTGTAACGTGGTTTATAGACAAACGAATCGATTTAATCCCAAAATGATAAATAAATTAAATAAAATACAAGACTTAGCGTTGAAATCGAGATAAGACAACAAATAGCTTAGTTCCGGAAGGAGAGCTTCCGAGGGCAGTGATAAGAATATCAATAGACAGGAAATAAAGTATTATTGAGCTTAGAGGAATGTGTAGTACAAGTTTGTCAGAAAATTCGTGTCTTTTACAATGGTTGTTGAAGTCACTATTATAGTTGTACCTAGGGAACAAGGTCTTAGGATCAAGCCCCTCTTAACTGACAATTATGGGGGCCATTGATGAATGTGTAACGGCATGCTATGAATGCCAAAATTCTCTATAACGGATTGTGTATTTAATACTGAAGAATATTCTTCATTGAATGTCATCGGGTGGCAAATATTCGTTTATCTTCATTAGCTATATTGCCTTCGGGGTCTTCCCGGTGCCAATCGAAACTTCTGTCCCCGGTCTTGGTTTCTATTTGCCTCGCTTTCCGTCTGCCTCTGGTTCCACGTGTCGCTTTATTATTCGAGTATTTAATACGAACCGATTTTACCCTATAAACACATAAAATCCAGCACTGTTATTATACAATATTTTGGTTGCTGCTGTTGTTTTCCTCATAAATAACACGGCTTATGTTTTGCAAGAACTTTTTGTATTATTTTAAGAGAGCTAAAATGTGGAATAAGAATGAGAATATAAGTAACACATGGATTAGAAACACTAAAATGGCAAAACTAATGCTTATTTTAGTAAACAACTTTAATTTTTCTTAAAAAGTAAACACATATTTTAAAATATACATTGTATACTAATTTGTAATATATGCTAAACACATAACAAGAAATAATCACTGTATTAAGTATTATAATCTATGCATTACAATCCTTGCATTATATAATCCTTCCTTAGACCAAAAGTGAAAAGTTGGAGGACTATTAGTGCATCATATTATGTGTTAGGAACTATTGTCATTGAAGTACCAAACTTAACAGACAATTTTAAGTTTTTCTCAAACTCATATACTACAGATCTCTTAAGGAACATTTGCAATCTTGTAGTCCAATAGCTTCATTGAATGAGTGTGCTCCAAGATACGGCGTCAGATTGAGGAATTGGAGAGGCTTTCAGGTGTGCTAAGTAGTTCTCTGACTGTGGATGGGGTTCCTGTTGACTCATACCTCACTAGGTAATTAGCTCTATTGGCTTGCTTTTGTTATGCGAAGTTGTTCCATATTTATTTATTTATTTATTTTAGTTTTAAGAGTGAAGTTGTTCAATTTGATTGTAGATTTGCATGGGATGAGGCAAAATATCCAACAATGTCACCTCTTAAGGAGACTGGACGGAATTCACACCCAAGTAGCCAAGATTGAGGATGATCTCAAGGTCGAATCTCTTTTGCCCTCTTGTACAAAACAATTACTGGATATTTCATTTCGTACAGTGCTCCAATTAGTGTTCTCTCTCTGTTCATTCAATTTGCTTCCTAAAATTTTTAACAGAATAAGGTTGGGGGGAGGTGGGAGGAAGGAGGTGGCGAGACATGAACATAGGAGAACTGTTTATAAATATGGTTATGGACAATTAATGGGGATAACAGAGTATGTAACTCTCTTATTTTATCTTTTTATTCTTGTTGGAGGTGGTGGTTTGGGGAACTTCCATTTCAATGCTAAGATATCAATAAGAGAAATGATGTTCCCCGTACCAGAAATGGTTAAGCTTGTTTTTTGTCTGGCTAACGAGAGCAAACTATAAAAAAAAAATATAAATCAAAAGCTTCCTAATCTATATCTATATTATTATAAAAGTATGAATATAATTTTGGTTGACAAAATTATTCTTTAAATATTATATGCTAGAACACACAAGAAAAGGATACAACTGGAATTTAAACATTAGGATGTAGCTTTGTAGTAGAATAGGGACCAAAAACGTTAGGCAACATTAGGATAAAGTGATCCTAATACTCTTTGGACATTCTTCTTCTTCGACCATATGACATACTTCTTTTTGGATCATAATCCTATAATCCTATTTCTGCTTGCCTATAATATACATATATATTTTCGAAACATCTTATTTGCTTTAAACTGTTCTTGGTACAGAAAGGTAAGAAATAGGCAGTAAATACCATGTAGAGCTATATTGAAAGAGAAGAAAACAGAATTACCGATAGGCCCACAAGCAAACCATTTCATCAGCAATTTCTTCAAGGTAGTAACTACGTCTCTCTTTGGCGATACCCTTTGCTATTTAAACGGGGGTGATATAATGCGGATCAAGTATACCAAAGTTAAAAAGAAGAAAACCATCACAGAGATAAACACAAAATTCCAAGTAAATAGATTATAATGATTACGTAGTAATACTGGATTATGAAAACGTCCTACTTCCATAATAATTAAATCATGATACATTCGGTTCTATAAGAAGCAAAAATTAACTTATTGACTTATTTACATAGCCAAAATCTTACCAAAAGTATCAATAAAAGTATGTAATTGGTCGAATTACCACCAATAAGGCATTTAATATTTAGACTCCAATTACATACGTATCTTTTTAAATTTAATTTATTTATCCTCTTTTCTTAAGTAAATAAACTTTACAGAAGGCGAATGGAATAATTTGAGATTATTATTGAATGATGCAGAGGACCCCTCTTTGTTTGAAAACTTACTTATACTGTTAATAGAAGAAAATCTGAATATTCAAATAAGCTGCAAAAGAAAGAGTCGTTATTAGAATCCGGTAACAATATTTTAGAATGCTTATGTGATGCTGTCCTCTTCAATGCCATCGCCTCGCAAAATTTTATTTGCAACTATACTGGTGCATTGTAATCCAACTGAGTTTAGAAAGTTGTGGGAAATATGTTACATATAGATACTTTAAATGACTTTAGAAGGATACATGATACACTGATCAAAAGCATTAATTATTTATTAGAGAGTACATGCATGACTATAGAAATATAAGATATATCTAAACTTCATTAGGGGTTAGATAATAATGTTGTATCAGAATACCTAGAAATAATTCAAGAGAAGTCTATAAAATTGCATGTGGAAGATAATAACAATCAAAGCTAAACCTGGACAAGATAAAGACTACTACAAATAGTTGACTCTGGAGCCGGTATTTTCTTCATAGAGGATCCCAAAAAGCTAAAAAGAAGTTCATATATAGTGAATTACTCGCACATGTTAGATGAAAAAGGCAAGATAGAGTTAGCAACAGTAACAAGTGGTTTAGTAGTAGCTAGCAATTTTACTATGTGGCCGTACAACTCATTCTCAATTATATAGTAGATACTGATGAACTGTTCGGTGAAAAATAATGATTTTTGGAGGTAATTTTCATTAAATACTACAGGTAGCTTCAAATTAGCGAGAATAGAAATTGTAAATGTAAGCTTAGTAAAATCATGTTTATGCAATTAAGTGAAAATAATTCAGCAAACAAAACAATATTCTTATATCGTGTTGGAAATGTAGGATTACATATAGATGTTCGTAACACACAGCGGAAGACAATAACAATCCTAAGAAGATCTTTTCGTATTTAAAATTTATTTACATGTCAAAGATCAGATCTAAGACGTGCCTGGTGAAGAGAGTCTCGTTTCAAAAATTTCTTCGATAGTGCGAAGACTCTATGCGTATCCACACCGAGACTGATGTTTGCTATCAACTCTTTGATCAATGAAACCCGTGAACAATTTGAATGAAATATTGTATTGAAAATTTTCTCAAAAATCTCAACTTCAAAGATAGAAGAACAAGAAAATACTTTTCTTGTAATTGTATTTTCTCTCTTGGCTTTGTATTGTACTCTCACTTTTACAAAGTGATTTTCTTCTCAAAACAATATTTTGATAAAAAAATTTCCATCACCCTTTATATAGTATCACCTATAAATCCTTTTCCTATTTAGTTGAGGTAATGAGTTATTTAGGGTAAAAGTTTAATTCCAAAAATAAACGTGTGCCATGTTAGCTGTATGGACGTTCCAATTCAATTCCAAACTGAATTGGATTATGAGAATTAGTTAACATTTTATATTAAATAATATCACTCCCATTCTTAATGGTTTAACTTAGCCTCACGTCCTTTTTGGACTTTTGTGTCAATCCAATTCTATATTGGATTTATCAAATAAGTTTTCATTAATATATTATATGCATACTTCGTACAAATAAATATTAATTATACATATTACATATATATTTTAATCAAGAGATAATTTTAATTTTCTATTCTAAATAGAAAACTTCAACTTGTTCACAATATTAATTATATCCTCTATGCTAGCAAAGAATATAATAATATTTTATTTTGACTAATAACT